TGTGTGCCAGGGTCTTGGCCAATTAAATGACTTACATACATGATTTCATTAAGTCCAAATTGGTCGTAAGGACTTAATGAAATCATGTATGTAAATCAGGAGGGAAAGGTGGAACACGCGCAGTAGGAATCTGGATTTATTTAGAAATATTTGCAGCACCAGGCTTTTTTTTTTTTTAAACATAAACATTGTGATTTTTCATATTTATTTATTTATTTATTTATTTTAGTTTTTGGCGGACACAACATCTTTGTTTGTATGTGGTGCTGAGGATCGAACCCGGGCCGCACGCATGCCAGGCGAGCGCGCTACAGCTTGAGCCACATCCCCAGCCCAGCACCAGGCTTTGAACCCAAGGCCTTGTGCATGCTGGACAAGTGCTCTACCACTGAGCTACATCCCCAGCCTTTATACTTTTCTTTTGAGAAAGGTCTTGAACTTATGTTCTCCTGCCTCAGCCTCTTGAGTTGAGATTACAGGCATACATCACCATGCCTGACATAGATTTATTTTAAAAGTAGAGTCTACATGATTCGCTCAGCAGCTATTTGTGGATTAGATGGAGGATAGATAATAGCAATACTTGCAGATACATTCAGTGTGTGGCTGGCGCTGTTCTCAGCACATTATCTCATTTAATCCTCACATCACGCTTTTTTTTTTTTAAATATTTATTTATTTTTTTAGTTCTCGGTGGACACAACATCTTTGTTTGTATGTGGTGCTGAGGATCGAACCTGGGCCGCACGCATGACAGGCGAGCGCGCTACCGCTTGAGCCACATCCCCAGCCCCACATCACGCTTTTATTAGTGCTGTTTTGAACATGGGGAAACCGAGATACAGAAAGGGTAAGTACCTTGTCCAGTCACTGTGCTACTAACAACTATAATATTTTATTACAGAAGCAGCGCAGTGGGCTCTGGGAGTCGGAAAGATCCATTTGGGTTCAATTCCCACATGGCTGGTGGCCTTGGGCAGCTAGTTCACTTAGCATCTCTCGGTGGTGATTTCCTGTCCTTTTATTGTTATTATTTTTGGTACTGTAGATGAAACTCAGGAGGGCTCAACCACTGAGGCACAACCCCAGCCATTTTTATTTTATTTTTTAAATTATTCATTTATTTATTTATTTTGAGACAGGGTCTCACTAAGTTGTTTAGGGCCTGGCTAAATTGATGAGGCTGACTTCGAACTTGTGATCCTCCTGCATCAGCCTCCCGAACCTCTTGGATTACAGGTGTGTGCGACCGAGCCCAGCCAGGCTCCTGCTCTGTTAAATGGGGATTAGAGGGACTCGGGGTGTGGCTCAGTGATAGGGCACACAGGAGCAAGTGTGAGTACCTGGATTCCATCGCTAGCACATCAAAATAAGTTAAATACAGTTAAAAAAAAATGGGGATTTTAGGATGACTTGATGAGATAATGCCTGAAAGAAGAGTGAGCCCAGGGTGTGGAAGGTACTCACTAAATGATAGCAAAGATTTTCTTTAAGGGATTAAGATGCAGCAGTGATCCCGCCCTGCAGGCCCTCGTCTCCCTTGAGGTGAGCCCTAAAGTGTCCTGTGTGCTCTCTCCTTCCTTTCTTGTCCCAAGGCCAGGCCGGCATCACACATTTCCTCCAACTGAGATGTCCCGATATTCACCTGGCTTTCGCTAGCTCTCTGCCCAAATGTCACCTCCTCAGAGAGGCCTTCCTGGACCCTCTGTCCCCTCGCCCTGCCTTATCTTGTCCCTCAGCGTTCTTATTACATGTTTGTTTAGATATTATGTTGTCTGTCTCCTGGAGAAGTGAGTTCGACGGCCGCAGGGACCGGTTGCCATCACAGGCGGGCAGATCAACAGGGGAGTGCGCGCACCGCCCCCTGGTGGCCAGTGGGGAAAACGTCTCCGCCCGCTTGCGAGACCTTCATGTGCCTGTTTACAACTGGAAACTAAAGCTAGAGTTTAACTCCGCTCTGTGTGTAAACACAAAGCATTTTATTATGATGATTATTATTTGCAGTACTGGGAGTTGGACCCAGGCCCTTGTGTCTCCTGGGGATGGGACGCTGGGTAAGTGCTCTTTAACTGATCTATATGTCCAGACTTATTTATTTGGTACTGGGGACTGACCCCAGGTGCCCTTTACCACTGAGCTATATCCGCAGACCTGTTTGTTTTTATTTTGAGACAGGGTCTTGCTAAGTTAGTGAGGGTCTAAACTGCGGAGGCTGGCCTCGAACTTGTGATCCAATCATCTCAGCCTTCGGAGTTGCTGGGATTACAGGTGTGCACCACCTTAGTCTTTTTATAAGGATTGGGGTTCATCCTCATAGCCTCATTCTAACTTAATCACCTCTGTAAAGACTCTGTCTCTGGGTTGGGGATATTTGAATAAAGTCCTAAAGGAGGTGAGAACTGAGTGCCCTGTGCAGTGTGAATAACAGGAGCAAAGGCCCTGGGGCCAGAGTGGGTGTGTTCAGGGAGTGAAGAGCTGCATGGGGGGGGGGGGACGCTTGAGGCTTTGGGGTTGGACATCAATGTAGGAACCTCGGAATGTGACCTCATTTGGAGGAAGGGTCTTGGCAGATGTAATGGAGGCACGGATCTCAAGATGAGATCATGCTGGATTAGGACTGCCCGGAATCAATGTCTGGTGCTTTCATAAAAACAGAAACACAGAGAAGATGACCAGCGAAGGCAGGCAGAGGTAAGGGGCTACATCCCCAAGCCAAGGAATACCAAGAATTGCCAAAAGCCAGAGAGAGGCATGCAAGACTCTCCTTCAGTGCCTCCAGAAGGGACCACCCTGGGGACATCTGAATTTCAGACATCTAGCCTCTAAAACTGGAGAGAATAAGTTTAAATCACCAGGCTGTGGTCATTTGTTACAGAAGGTAGTAGTAGACGTTAGTAGAACCCCTCAGTTGCCTCAATGACACAAGAAAGGAACCTCAATGAGCTTGATTTTCTATCTGTAAAATGGGATTACAGCCATGTGGCACCAGACCCAGTCTATTTTCTGTTTTATTTATTTTTTTGGGGGGTCGTTCTGGAGATTTAACTGAGAGGCACTTCACCATTGAGCAACATCTCCAGACCTGTTTCTAATCTTTTTTTTTTTTTTGGGGGGGGGGATTGAGTAGGGTAGTAGGCCACTGCACCACATCCCCAGCCCTGTTTTCTATTTTCTTTAGAGACAGGGTCTCACTGAGTTGCTTAGCACCTTCTAGTTGCTGAGGCTGGCTTTGAACTCAGTATCCTCCTGTCTCAGCCTCCCAAGCTGCTGGGATTACAGGCATGTGCCACCACACCTGACCTGTTTTTAATTTTGAGACAGGTCTTGCTAAGTTGCTTAGGGCCTTGCTAAATTACTGTGGCTGACCTCGAACTTGCCATTCTCCTGCCTCAGCCTCCTGAGTCACTGGATTACCACCATTCTTTGTCCTTTATATACTTTTGGTCTTCTCCAGATAACTTATAATGCAATGCAAATGCTAAGGAAGTAGTTGCTAATCTGTATTGCCTAGGAAGTAATGAAGAAGTCTGCATGTTCAGTACAAACATAATTTTAGAAAAATGTTTCCTATCTGTGGTTGGTTGTATCCACAGATGTGGAACCTGCAGATACAAAGAGCTGATTGTATTTACATTTTTTGGGGGGGAATACTGGGGATTGAATTCAGGGACACTCGACCCATGATACATGTACCCAGCCCTATTTTGTATTTTATTTAGAGACAGGGTCTCACTGAGTTGCTTAGTGCTTTGCTTTTTTTCCCCCCCTTTTGCTGAGGCTGGCTTTGAACTGGAGATCCTACTTCCTCAGCCTCTGAGGTGCTGGGATTATAGGCGTGTGCCACGACACATGGCTCTTGTATTTACTTTTTATTTCATAAAAAGGGAAGGAAACTAATAATAAAGATACACTCATTCGTTCATCATTTTCTTTCTAATTTTTTTGTGATGCTGGGATGGAACCCAGAACCTCTCAGGTGCCAGGGAAGTGCTTTGCCGCTGAGCCACACCCCCAGCTAGTTTCCAGATTTTTCGAACGAGTGATTTCACAGAAGAAATATGAGAAGTTGACATTTGACTAAAGAGCTGAAGCAAGTGATGTAGTGAGCTTGGCAGGTATTTGGGCAATTATAAGAGGATTAAAGTGCAGTGTACAGAAGGTTTCCGAAGCTTGTTAACAGTAGCCATATAAAGGGCAAGGGATTACCATATATCCACTTTCCGTGATTCAAATCACAAAATAAAATGACTGGCACCTCAGGGAATCTGGTCTGCATACCTGTAACTGTCATCAACTCCTACGAAGGCATACCTCAGCATTACCACCATTCGTCTTAAGCCGCTTATTATGTCTAAATTTTGGTTTATGCAAGTAATTCCTTAAGTCTAGTCAATTCCAGATGGGGCTTCTTTGACTGTCTTCCTGTCTTTGGAATGCACCAACCTCACCCAACACAGAGAGCGACTTCGCGCAGGCTATGTCCTCTGCCTGGGCAGCCAGCCTCTTTCTCCCTCAGACCTGTCCTCCTGACTTCTTCTAAGACATCGATCCTTGCTGTGAAATTCACATTTACCCATGAGGGCTTTGTTTCTCATCTGGACTTCCCGTCCACATTTCCCCTAGCAGAGTCTAGCACTCATTGCTGATTTAGAGAATGAGTGATTATAATGGATACACTTTTTTTTTTGGTACTAGGGATTGAACCCAGGGGCGCTTTATTCCCAGACCTCTTTATTTTGAGACAGGGTCTCGATAGATAAATTGCTGAAGCTGGCCTTGAACGTTTAATAACTCAGTCTCCCGCTTCGCTGGGATGACAGACACGGGCCACCACGCCGGGACACCGGTTACACTAACTCCAGGGTTTCTTCCGCGGGGGTGGGGTGGGCCAAACCCGGTTAGCCTTCGAGGAGTCCTAGGCTAGTGTCAGGCACCTGCTTATTGCAATCCGGAACCAGAGGGCGCGGGAGGAAACATCGTGAGCAGGAGAGGCCGGAGAACGCGGCTGGCATCTCCTTCTCTCTAACGAGCTAATCCAAGCAGAAGGAACTAGCTTCCCAAACACCCCTGGGACCACAGCCACTGGCTCCCACCTCCACCCGCGGGGGCGCGGCCTCTTTAAGGCTCCCGGAAACGGGCTGATAGTACCGGAAGTGACCCTCTTTATTTCCCCTCTTCACGTGGTGGGTGCGGGAAGTGACGAGCGCGGCCCGGGAGCTGCGGACGCGGAGGCCGACCGAGCCGGAGTCGCGGACGCCGCGGGGTCTCCGGGACAGGTGACCGGGGGAGGGGACCGGGAGCGCGCCCGGAGAGGGCGGGGCTTGGAGCCCCACGTGAGGGGAGTCGGAGCACGCGCGGGCGGGGTAGCGAGCACTCGGCGGGGGCGGGGTCAGAGTACTCTGCGGGGGGCGGGGACAGGACGCCCACATGGGGAGTCCGAGGGGCGCTGGCGGGGCGGGACGTTAGTGTGTGGGCAGGGCCGGGGCGGGCCGGGCTGCGGGCGGACCTGCAGCTAGGGTGGGCAGCTGGCGGCGAACCCGAAGAGTTGTGCCGGGCTGGGGGCGGAGCCAAGTGTTGCCCGGAGAGCTGAGGGGCGGGACCGGGACGCGGGTCGAAAGTCCTGTGGGCGGGGCCAGGAAGTTTTCCCTGATTTGGAGTGGGTCCGGAACGTTGGCCGGGAAGTCAGGGGCGGTCCCAGAGGCTGACGACAGGTCCAGGGCGGGGTTCTAAGGTGGAGGGTGCCCGGGGGGCGGGGCCGGAGGGCGAGCGGAGAATGCTTGGGGTAGGAACCAGAAAGTTTTGCCTGAGCCAGGGGCGCGGCCAGAGCACTGGCGGGGGAAGCCCTGAGCGGAGCCCGAACCTTGGTTGGGGAAGCCGGGGGCGGGGCCAAGCCTGACGCGCGCGGCGGGGGCGGGAGTCAGGGGCGGGGCCAGAAGGCTGACCGCGCAGGACGGAGGCGGGGCCATAGCGTTGGCTGGGGAAACTGGGGGCAGAGCCGGGAAAATAACGCGAGAGGCAGGGGCGGGTTCAGGCTGTTGCCCGAGGAGGTAGGGGGCGGGGCCGGGGAGTCGGCTGGGAAGTCGGAAGCAGGGCCAGATTAAGGGCGCGAGAATGTGGGCCGGGCCAGAAGTCTGGCGGGAAAGGCGGGGCCGGAAAGTTTTGCCCTGCCCCGGGGCTGGGCCAGAGGGCAGTCAGGGGCGGGGCCGTGGCGTTCGCAGCCTGGTGGAGGCCGGAACTTTTCCCTGGGAAGCCAAGAGTGGGCGTGGGAAGTTCTGTCCTGGCTGGAGCGAGCATGCACCGGAGAGGTGAAGCCCAATCCGGAAGCCTCCCCGGTGGGCACCGGAACCCGTTATCAGAATAGTTTCTGGTTAGATAATGAGTCAACCATCTTACGTTTTTTCAGGATGCTGGGAGCCGGGCCTAGGGCTTTCCTTGGGAGGTATGGGATTATGTTCTCTGAAGAGTTGGAACTGCTTGCGGTTAGGGCATGTTTTTGAAACTTACCTGCGAAGCTAGAATGTACACTGGGATGTGAGTGGCACCAGAATGAACACAGGAAAGTGGCCCTAGAACTTTCTTGTGCAGGTTGGAGAAGGGATGTAGCTAAAACTCAAACTTTTGAGTTTTGTCTGGGCTAAAACTCCCACTACAGGTTGTGGAGGCTGAGCTAGAATCTTCAGTGAGAGCTAAGCCAGAACTTCCCAAGGAGGGTCTGATTAAAAAGTTTTCATGAAAAATCCGTAGGTCTAAAGCCGAAGGGGCGTGGTCTTTATTTTTTCCAAGTAAGGGGTGCAGCTAAGACTTGAGCAAAATGGAAATGAAGTCCGTAATTCTCTTGGGGTATGGGTATTATTTTGTGTGCATGTCTGTGTGAGGAGCCCCCTATATGGGAGAGACAAAGTAGATTGGGAGTGCCTTTCGTCTTAGTCATGCTGTTTCCTCTGTGCTCAGGAACCCCTAGTGTTGCTTCCAGATTCTGTGGTGGTTGCTGGGATCCTAGCCACAGCTGGTGAAATGGTGAGACCAGAAGTGGGTATCCGGAGTCTGAGCTTTGGGGAAGGGGCTTGGGAGAATGGGATCCAGGGGTCAGACCTGCAGACCCCAGACTGAATTTTCAGGCCCTGGGATACCTAGAGGGTTTCCTTTCCACCCATCAACTGCCTTCCTGTTTCAGGCAGCCACCCTGGATCTGAAATCAAAGGAGGAGAAGGATGCTGAGCTGGACAAGAGGATTGAGGCTCTTCGGAGGAAGAATGAGGCCCTCATCCGGCGCTACCAGGTGCCCTAGCCCTGCCCTGGGAGACCCCATCCCCTCTCCTCCCCCGCAGTGAGTTTTTCTCACCTCTCCCTTCTTTGAAACCTTTTCATGGCTTCCCATCACTCTCAGGATGAAAGCCAAAGGCCTTAGTTAGGCATTCCTTCCTTCATTTCTGTCATTCATTCATTCATTTGCAAATACTCACCCAGGTCTTTACAGCTCCAACTTTTGTTGAGTGGTGCTGGGGCTGACACCAAGACAGCTTCAGGTCTGTCCTTTCAGGGCTCGGAGTTCAGTCAGGGAGAAAGCCCTGTCCCCAGTTGGTGATGATACAGGCCGGGCAAGGTGATGAGGGAATTCAGAGGTTTGTAGGACTCTAGGGAGGGCTCCTGATTCAGCCTGGGGGACATTAGGGAGGGTTTCCTGGAAGAGGGGGCTGCAGAGGCCTGAAGAGTTATAAGACATTAGCCAGTTGAAAAGGAGAAGGGCTTGTGTTTCAGGCAGAGGGAACAGTTTGGGCAAATATTTGGACTTGAGAGAGCTTGGAGCTTAAAGCTCCATGGTCAGTTAGGGAGTATTGATCTAGAGAGGTCAACAGGAGCCAGGTCATGTAAGGCCCTAAATGCCACCAAGCTGAGAGTTTGAACTTTCTCTTGAGGGCACTGGGGGACCATAGAGAGCTTTGAGCAGGAGTGGGACTCTGGCTTTTTAGAGAAGCTTCTCTGGCTGCTGTGAGTTAGTGGAGGGGCAGAGGTGAGAGAAGCCAGAGATTGAGAAGGAAGTTGGGGCAGGAGCTCTAGTGGGAAAAGAGGTGCGTGGCCCAGAACTGTGGTTGAGGGACTTTGTGACTGAGGACAGTAGAAGGTTGGGGGAGAAAGGGAGGATCCAGAACAAGGCCCAAGAGTAGGCAGTGAGGTTTTCCTGGATGTGGGACCTGGGAGGAGCAGTGGACCTCATTTATTCATTCTTCATGTGTCCATTTGTTAAAAAATACTAAGTTTTGGCATGTGTCAGGCAGTGTTCTAGACTTGGGATATGCATCTGTGAAGAGATATCCTGTTCCCTGGTGAACAGGGGATGAGAAGAGGAAGAATGGTGGGGAACTGATTTCTGCAGGGGTTCCGGGGCTGCCTTTCTGAGAGGAGGCATTTGAATAGAGACTGAGGAGTTGGGGGAGTGAGGGACTCTGGGAAAGCTGGCAGGGGGGCCAGCTGGTGCAAAGGCTGTGAGGCAGATCTTGACCTTGTATGTTCTAGAAACAGAATGGTAGGGCAAAAGGGGATGGAGAGAGACAAGGCCAAGCATGGGAGGGGATACTGGGGCCTACAGACTGAGGAAGCCTCTGTTCCTTGCTCAGAGGCGGGCATCGTGAGAGGTCCTAGAGGGGAACAGGACGGGGTCTGAGAGATGATGTTGAAAGGGACCAGCTTTCTTGTTTAGAGCTTCGGAGGGAGGGCTGGGACTAAGATGCAGAGGAATTCAAGAGGCTATGGGAGTCCAGCAGGTGGACAGGGCCCCTGACATTTCTTCTGCCCTACATGTTTGTGCCCAGGAGATTGAGGAGGACCGTAAAAAAGCTGAACTCGAGGGTGTAGCAGTGACAGCCCCTCGGAAGGGCCGCTCAGTGGAGAAGGAGAATGTGGCGGTTGAGGTGGTGAGCTTGTCACCAGTGTGGAGGACTCCTGAGGATGGCGGGGAGAGGGTTGGGGCCTGGGATGAGAAACTCCCCAGCTGCTCCAGACCCACGGGTGGCTTATACCTATTGTCCCCTCTGGGCCTGGTGTGTCCCAGTCTCCCTGTCCAGTGACTGTACTTTCCCCTCCTCCCTCTTCCAGGAGAAGAGCATGGGTCCCTCACGGAGGTCTCCTGGGACCCCTCGGCCCCCAGGGGTCAGCAGGGGCGGGCGGCCCCCTCCCCAGCAGGGAGGCCGGGCAGGCTTGGGCCGGGCATCCCGCAACTGGGAGGACAGTCCTGGGGAGCCGCCTCGAGGAGGAGCTGGGGGCCGGGGCCGAAGGGGCCGGGGCCGGGGGTCTCCTCATCTCTCAGGAGCCGGAGACACCTCAACCTCGGACCGCAAATCCAAGGTAGGAACCAGGCAGGTGGGAAGCTTTTGCCGTCCTCATTCTGTTTTCTTTGTCGTCTTGTTTCTTTCCATTCCTTCTCTCAGGGCTATTTCCCGTTCTCCATGCTCCACCCTCAGCCCCTGCACCTGGGCGCTCTGCAGGGCGGTTGTCCACCTCTCCCTGCCTCCCCTCGCCCTCACGCTACTTGTTTCTCCCCATCTCTTTTTCCTCTTTCTGGCGCTGTCTGGTGGCTGCTCTTGTCTGGTGGCTGATGTGCCCAGGCTGTTCTGGGTTTTCTGTGTCTGTTCCAGTGGTGGGATGCGAGCGTGGGGCTGGTCTTCCTGGCACGCAGGTGGGCTGGTGGGATGTGTCTAGCTTAACGGCTCACAGCTTGCCTGGACTTGGGTACAACCTGGTTCTGTTAGTTACTTGTCCTTGGCCGCTTACTTCCTTCTGTGAACTTGATTCTCTCTCATGTAGGAATCGTGTTTAGATTTAAAGGTTACTATAAGTTGCTGGGTGCACTGGTACATACCTGTAATCCCAGTGGCTTGGAGGCTGAGGTCAGAGGATCACGTGTTCAGAGTCAGCCTAAGCAACCTATTGAGCTGTCCTAAGCACTTTTTTTCATATCCTGTTAGTACTTACACACTTAGCCACATGTCGCTACAAAGACCGGAAAATGAAAAGGTCATCTCCAGCTGTTTTGTTCTTACCTAAAATTTTGGTACTGTGGAAGAACAGAATGGGCTGGGAGGTTACTAGTTACTATTATCATGACCATCATTATTACTGTGGCAGTTAGGGTGTGGGGATCTCCAGCACTCTGACACCAAACTGCCAGTTTCAGTGATTTGCTGGAAAGACTCACAAGGCTCAGAGTATAATTGGACTCAAGCTCAGATTTATTGCTGTTTTTTTTTTGGGGGGGGCTACTGGGGATTGAACTCAGGGGCACTCAACTACACCACTGAGCACATCCCCAGCCCTATTTTGTATTTTATTTAGAGTCAGAGTCTTACCTGCGTGCCATTCACCGAGTGCCTTGCTTTTTGCTGAGGCTGGCTTTGAACTCTCGATCCTCCTGCTTCCGTCTTCAGAGCCACTGGGGTTACAGGCGTGCACCTCTGCACCTGGCTATTGCTGTTTTGACACAAAGCAAAAGCCAGGGGAGGAGGTGCATGGGTGAGGTCTGGAGGCAGCCATGTTCCCTGTGGAGTTAGGGTGCGTTGAATTGTGACGACGTCTGTCTACCAAGGATGCTCAGGAGACACTCAGTGCCCTGGCCTCTTGGAGGCTGGGGCTCCCTGCACACTGTATCTTCCAGAATCCCAGACTCACAGGAGATGGGGCAGGGGCTGCAGCATCTCCCATACTGTTGGCAGAGTCCAGACCCATGGAGCCACCCTCACTGGTTACAGTTGACTGGGAACACACCTAGAATGATTCCCAGATGCCAGCCAGGTGCTATGCCACCTGCCTCTGTCAGGAGAGCGGGCCAGGTGCTGTGCCACACTTTTCTGTACAGCTTTAGCAGTTCTTCCTGATGCTGGGTGTCTTGACCCCGTATCCCCAGGAGTGGGAGGAGCGGCGGAGACAGAACATTGAGAAGATGAACGAGGAGATGGAGAAGATTGCCGAGTACGAGCGCAACCAGCGGGTCAGTACCGCAGGCTCCCAGGCGAGCACTGCTGCCTGATTCCTGGGAGCCAGCCAACCCTGCCTCTGCCCGTAGGAAGGGGTGCTGGAGCCCAACCCAGTGCGGAACTTCCTGGATGACCCCTGGCGACGCAGCGGGCCCCTGGAGGAGCCAGAGCGGGACCGCCGGGAGGGTAGCCGTCGACATGGGCGCAACTGGGGGGGCCCTGACTTTGAGAGGGTGCGCTGTGGCTTGGAGCACGAGCGGCAGGTGAGTGCTGGTAGCTGGGTCCTTGCACTGCTCTCTGGGCTGAGTACAGATGTGCACCAGGCATGTTGGGGACCAGGATAGGTCAAGACTCTCTTTTTGGGCTGGGATCATTGTTTACGTTTTTAAGGATTTGTGTCATGCTTTCTTTTTTTTCGGTACTGGGCATTGAACCCAGGGACGCTCAACCACTGAGCCACATCCCCAGCCCTTTTCTGTATTTTATTTAGAGACAGGGTCTTGCTGAGTTGCTTAGGGCGTTGCTAAATTGGTGAGGCTGTCCTGGAACTTGAGATCCTCCTGCCTTAGCCTCCTGAGGGGCTGGGATTATAGGCGTGCACCACTGTGCCGGTTCTCAAGGCAAGCACTCTACCAACTGAGCTATATCCCCACCTACCCCCAGCTCTCTTTTTTTATTTGTTTATTATTACTTTTTAAAAATATTTTTATTAGTAGTTGATGGATCTTTATTTTATTTACTTATTTATTTATATGTGGTGCTGAGAATTGAACCCGGTGCTTCACACATGCTAGGCAAGCACTCTCCCACCGAGCCCCAGCCCCAGCCCTTTTATTTCTTATTTTGAAACAGGATCTTACTAAGTTGCTGAGGGCCTTGCTAATTTGTTGAGGCTGGTCTTGAACTTGTGCCTCTGCTGCCTCAGCCTCCCCAGCTGTTGGGATTACAGGCCTGCACCACTGTACCCAGCATGTTTTTCTTGTTAGGGCCAGTTTCCCCTTATTCTTTTTTTTTTTTTTTTTTTTTTTGCGGGGGGGGGGGGTTGGTGGTGGTGGTGGTGGTGGTTACCAAGGATTGAACTCAGGGGCACTTGAGCAGTGAGCCCCATCTCCAGTCCTATTTGTATTTTATTTAGAGATGGTCTCACTGAGTTGCTTAGTGCCTCACTTTTGCTGAAGCTGGCTTTGAACTCACCATCCTCCTGCCTCAGCCTTCTGAGCGGCTGGATCCCCTTATTCTTGATGATGTGGCATTTATAAGGCTCTATCGACACATCGTGCTAGGTGAAGGGTGAAGGGTGGGGATGTGACCAGAGAGGGGAGAGTCAATTCCTTGGACTTACACCTCGACAGTATTGGTGGCTTTGCCAGTCCCACACGGCTCAGCTTATAGAGTTAGGTTATAGGGTTCATGTGTGTTTTGGGGTTTTCTCTGATTCCGACATCAGTGTTGTTTATTGGGCACCTACTGGGTAGAAGCACTGCTCTATTTCATTTGTCTTCAAGGTGCTGAGGATGAATCTGGGGCCTCACACCAGCTAGGCAGGTGCTGTATGACTGAGCCTCTCTCCTAGCCCCCAGGCACCGCTTTAGATGCTGGGATGAGTTTTAATGCAAACATAGGCCCTGATAAGTTGACAGCAATGGGAACCAGCCAGATGGAAATTTGGTTAGAGGCCAGGCGGCAACAAATGTTGCCACCAGAGGAGCCCAGCAAGGTGATGATGGTGGATGCTGTTTAGAGATGGGAGAGCCTCTTTGAGTCTATCCTGAGCTGTTGTACTGCTGCTTTGTCACCTTGAACCAGTGACCCCACCTCTGAGTTCAGTGGGGAGGGAAAGGGAGAGGAATAGACCCTGACTGCTTGTGGCTGGGGCAGGGCCGCCGGGCTGGCCCAGGCTGTGCTGGCGACATGACGCTGTCCATGACGGGCCGGGAGCGGTCAGAGTACCTGCGCTGGAAACAGGAGAGGGAGAAGATTGACCAGGAGCGACTACAGCGACACCGCAAGCCCACGGGCCAGTGGCGGCGGGAGTGGGATGCTGAGAAGACTGATGGCATGTGAGTCTGCGCCCTGTTTGCCTGCCCTGGGCTGTTGCCCCTCCTTGCCCTGACCTCTGCCTCCGTTGCTTCTCTGTTTCCTCACCTGGGCTGTTAGTGATGAATGCTGTAGTTTGTCAGGTCTCCATGGCACACGAGAGCCTTCACAGGACACCCTGCTCAACTGGTCCAGGCTGGATGTGAGCCTGTGGGTGCCCTGGGGCTCAGCTCCAGATCAGGTGTAGCTCAGGTGTGCCGAGACAAAATCCTTTTTTTTTTCTTTAAGTGAGAGCCAGCATTAAAGGTGTGGTTGCACAAACCTGTAATTTCCATTATTCGGGAAGCTCAGGCATGAGGAGCCTGAGTTGGAGGCCAGCCTGGGCCACCTAGTGAGACCCTGTCTCAAAAAATAAAAAGGGCTGGGAACATAGGTTAGTGGTAGAGTGCTTGTCTAGGACACACGAGCCGTGGGTTCCATCCTCAGAACTCCCCCCCCCCCAAAAAAAAAAAAAAAAAGATATAAATCTATGGAAACTTCTGGTGTAGTCCAGTAGAGCAAAGCACAGAGCATGGGATAAAACCGGAGGTTGCTGATCTTTAAAGAATACCATTCCTCACCTCTTCAAGAACTTTCTGCTTGGCTCTGGAAGTTGGTCCTCATGACAGTGACATAGTGATGCTGTGGCTTTAAGTTTGAACACGCTCCGTATGTGTTCATTCTGGGGTGTGGGCAGAGGGCAGCAGCTGCCTGGGGAGACAGATGTCCTGGTGTTGGCGGACAGACAGGTGACAGAGACCCTTCCTCATTGTTAGCCGGCAGGGAAGCAAGCTCTGCCCCTCCAGTGGGTGTTGCGCAATGGCTTTGTGGCTTAGGGTGTGGATGTAAATTTTATTTTTGAGGTGCTGTGGCCTGGAGCATGTTAGGCAAGCACCTTAAACTGAGCTACCGCCTGACCCTAGGGATGTAAATTCTAAGGTCACCTGGGCATGAAAGACCTTTCTGGTCGCCCCTCTGTCCTCTCATCTTGCAGCTTCCCTCTGTCCCACTGACCTGTCCCCAAGTAGCACACATCCTTGCATCAGGCCTGACTCTGTCCTCCTCTGGGCTCAGAAAACATCCACCTTAAAGTGTCATTGTCATTGTCATGAGGACCAACTTCCATAGCCAGGCAGAACGTTCTGGAAAAGCCCACGAATGGCAGTCTGATGCTCTGTCCTTTGCTGCATTGGAAGTTTTCATTTACCTATAATGTTGTTTTGTTGGCTTTGGTTAAAGAAAAAAGAGGACTTTGTCTTTTTGCTTAGTGGTTAGGAACATTATTATTATTAATTTTATTGGATCATGAGTCAAGCTTTTGCAAGTGTGAGAATTATTTAGGTATTTTAGCTTATCCTTCTAAGGGATAGGTAACTGGGCTTTTAGGGAGACATTCTCAGGTTTAAGAAAGGAAAAATAATTATTTTTGTGTGTGTCCCCAAAGCAGTCTACAACAGGTGTAATGAACACACTTGCAGTGATTTTATCAGATGCTTATCAAGGCCCCCCTGTGTGACATGAAAGGTTCTAGGTGACAGGGATCTAGAATGAATAAAATGTTTCTGCCACTAGACTTGGAGTCCTGTGGGCAAGATGGGAGGGGGGTAAATCTGATTTCGGGTCATAAAGAATAATGAAGCAGAGGAAGGAGAACATGAACGGGAGTTTTTATTTTAGTTTTAGATAACACGTTCCTGTAGGTGGGGTTCAGGAAAATCTCTGTCTCTAGAGCTAAGGCCTGAAGGAGGCCAGAGAGTGAGCAACAGGTATAAAGGCCTGAGGCAGGAGCCAGGAGTGCTTGGAGAACCTGCTTCGTTGGCCAGGTGAGAAAGAGAGAGTGTGACAGGAAGTGAGGTTCAGACAGGTAGCTGGCGATCATTATTTTGTAGGGGTCTGTTGAGACCCATTGGTATTTTTATCTGGGGGGCCAAATTCTCAATTTTTTTTCTTTCTGTGGTTATCAGTAGGATGTCAGGTTGCCTCATGCATCATCTGATCCTGTCCTCTTCCTAGTGACCCTTTCTGGTTGCCCCTCTGTCTTCTCATCTGGTTTCTGTCCCTGGCCTCCAGCACTCCCCCTGCTTCCTCATTCCTGCGCCCTCTGCTCATCCCTGCTCTCTTTCCCAGGTTCAAGGATGGCCCAACCCCTGCCCATGAACTGTCCCACCGCTATGGTGAGTGGTGTTCTTGGACCGGCCAAGACAGTGGCTGGACTGGGGTTGGGTGGGAAGTAGTTTGCGCTGTCCCCCTTCCCCTGCCTTCTTCAGGTTCTATTTCTGTTGCAGATGAACAGGCCTGGGCCCGGCCTCCCAAACCCCCCACTTTTGGGGAGTTCCTGTCACAGCGTAAAGCTGAGGTCAGCAGCCGCAGAAGGAGAAAGAGCAGCCGACCCCAGGCCAAGGCAGTGCCCCGAGCCTACAGGTGGGGACACCCCTTCCCGCAGCATGTGCACATCTCTGGGAGGTCGTTTTTTCCTTGGACTTGGGTGGGGCTGTGTGTCTTGGCCTCATCTGTCTCTAAGGTGCTTGGTTTGGCGTCTGGGGTCTGGATCTTGGCTTCATCATTCATGTGTCCTCTCCTCGCTTGGCATTCATCTCTGCTGCCACCTGGTTCCCCTTCATTTCTCCTGTTCCCTGATGGTTGGGGACACACATTCACCATTCCCTTCTCAGTGCTCTCTGGACAGCTCTGCTCTGGGGAGGAGTGGGCAGTTGGAAGTCCCTTCCTCTTGTCACTTGAGGCCTCACCCCTTTCCTTCTAGTGACCATGATGACCGCTGGGAGACAAAAGAGGAGGCAGTGTCCCCAGCCCCTGAGGCCCCACAGCCCCCGTCCCAGGAGGAGACACCCATGCAGGTAAGGCAGGGCACGGGGTGTGGGGCTCGGGGCCACGTCCTTTCCCTGACCTACTGTGTTCCCTGCAGCCTCCGGAGCCACCTGCTCCTGCCCACCGGCCTCCTGAGGATGAGGGGGAGGACGAGGAAGAAGAAGAATGGGAGGATGTGAGTGAGGATGTGACTGAGGACGAGGAGGAGGAGGAGGAGGACGAGGAGGAGGAAATTGAGGACGAGGGCACTGAGGAGCAGGAGGAAGAGCCAGCCCATGAGCACCAACCCCAAGAGGCCGAGCCCTCTGGTGGTGCCCCCAGCGAGCAGGCCGAGCAGGCGGAGGAGGCAGCGCCTTCCAGGGCTGAGGATACACTTCCCCAGGCGCCTGCCACGCCCTCCAGCCCCTTCTCACCACCTGGTGGCCACCAGCCTGTGTCAGATTGGGGTGAGGAGATGGAGCAGAATTCTCCCCGGACCACCCACCCTGCTGGTGCCCTCTCTCCGGGTGAGGCCTGGCCTTTTGGGAATGCATGAAGCCGGCTGCCTGTGTGTGCGCACAGGGGTGTGATGGGCCTGGGGACCCCATGCCCACGGTGCTGGCTGCTGGGGAGGGCAGTCCGTGTCCCCTCTGTGCTGTCATGCCCCTGTCTCTAGAGTACCCACTCCCAGACTTCCCCAGGTCCTCCAGAGCCCCTCCTCAATAAAGAACTCACATCCTCAAATGACATTCCCCTAAGTGTGTCCTTAAGGCCCCTCTAACTCCCCTTGGGTCTCATCTCTCCGAGTGGGGAGATGTTTGGAGGGAGAGGGGGCTTGACTGGGCCTCCCCTTCCCCAGGAGGTGACCAGCCGGCCTCTGCCTCCCTGGAGAGTGGGCACAGTCTCCCAGGAGCCCAGAAAGCTGAAGAGGAGGGGTCTGAGGCAACACCAGGTGGGGGTGTGCATGCAGTGGGGGAGGTGGCGTGGCCTGCCTTCCCCTCTGGGTGGCCAGGGAAGGGCTTGTGGTGGAGCTGTGTGGCAGCAGTGGGGCCTGGGTGTGAGGTTAGAATGCCACCTCTGGGGTGAGCCTGAACACGGCTGGGGTTGAGGAGGGGCTTCAGGGCCACAGGGATGGTCCAGCAGGGGAGACAGCAGCAGGGGATTAGGATTCATAAGAATTTAGGAGTTAGAGGTCAACCCCAGACTTAAGGAAAGCAGTGGAGAAGTAATGAGGTGGATTTACTCTCTAGGGGAGGACCTAAAGGGCAGGATTCAGAATTTAAACTTGGCCCTAAATGTTGAAATAAGAGTTGGGGGTGGGAGGTGTAGCTCAGTGGTTCTGGGCTTATTTTACTTGCAGGAAGTAAAAACGACAGTGGGACAGAGTATGGGATTTATCTGTGAGTGGGATTATAGGGTTTGGGGGTGCAGCCCTGTGGTGGAAATTAGAATAGGGCCCAATTCGATTTTGGCCCCTGCAGAGTGGGAGCAAGAGGCTGAACCCCTTTTCTCCATCATTTAGTGGGAGCCATTTTGAACCAGTGATAGTGTCCCTCTCCCCAGTGGAGTTGGCTTAGGATTTGGGCCAGAGCCAAGGAGGGACCGGTTAGAAAGCTGGATGGTGGGGATGTAAGGGAATGGAGGGCTGGTCCCCTGGGGCTTGCTTGATGGAGGTTGCTTAGGGATGGGGATCGGGCTGAGCTGAGCTATCTTTGGTCACGTGTTGTCTGGATCACCCTGATCTCATGCCAGCATTTCCCTCTTGTAGACAGGGTATATGCTGCCTTGTGGGTCCACTGAAGATTAAGACTTCCTTGGCCCCTAAACCGCTTAGTGCTCGGCCGGCTGCAGCCAGGCGGGATTGGGATGAGGGGCAGGGCCAGATGGGGGAGGGTGGCCCCGGAACTAGGGGAAGGCAGGGAGTCTCTTTCCCTCTGTTGACAGCCCCTTCTCTCCCCAGAGGTGGGCCCCGAGGGCCAGGAGACGGCGGAGATCACGGACTTCCAGAGGGTGCGTTTCTGCAAGGTGGTAGCGGCCGCTCCACCCCCAGGGGCCGCCCGCTGACCGCATCCGCTGTACCTGGCTGGCATCGGTCCTCTGCACTAACCTCCCACCGCCTCGCTCCTCTGCTTCTGCCACACTCCCGCCAGGAGAGGGTTAAATGTAAGGGGGGAGGAGCCAGGGTCACTGTAGAGGGCGGGGCCAGGACAGTAGTGTAAATTTGGTGAGGATTCTGTCCAGGCCCTACCCACGGGGAACCTCGTGGGAAGGCCGAGACGCCTCCGAGTTAGCGCCCCCAGGAGGCCGTGCGGGCTAGGTGCCAGCCTCCTGGCCGAATTTCCCGTCTCCAGGAGCCTACATCTGGGGCTTGGCAAGTCGCCGGTGACTCCTCCGCAGGACTTCAATCTCTAGGGCACCGGCCCGTCTCTATTAAACGCAGTGCTTCCGCTGACCTTTGAACTGCATTTGTGGCCTGGACAGGCTGGGTTGCGCTGCTTGGCGGGCTTTTCTCTGGCGGAAGAGGCGGGATAAAGGGGTCTTCCTTCTCCCCCCCTGATTCGTCTTCCTTCCCCTCCCGCAGGCCTCCTTGAATTCCTGAAGACGCTGCTGGGAGGGGACTGACGCTTCCCCGCCTGGATGGGGGGAGGGGCGGCAGGAGGGGTTCTATTTGGATCTCCGGGCTGGGTTCTCTCCTCGGAGCCCCTGGGACCCCACGGCTGTAGGGCGAGAAGGGAACTGAGGGTGGGTGGCGGAGTTGCTGGGAGAGGGAGCGATCGGGTGAGGGCGAGGTCGGAGCCTCGGGGGTGAGGTTAGCCTCAGAACACCTGAAAGGGCAGTAGGTGGCCGCTGTCTAGGGGCAGGTGGGGGTGCCAGGCAGGGCCCTGCGTCTGGAGGAGTTCGGGTGTGTGCGGGGCGAGCATGTGGGGGCGGAGCGCGGGGGCGTGGTCGGGGTGGGGGCGGAGCGCGGGGGCGTGGTCGGGGTGGGGGCGGGCGGAGAGCCAGGGTTGGAGGGCCCCGGCCGGCTCGCAGGCGGGGGACCCCGAGTCGTAGCCGGGACAGTCTGAAGGAGGGCAGAGGCGAGGGTGGGCCCGGACGAGAGCACGAGGCGAGGCTTGAGCTTGAGAGGCGGGTGGAAGGCGCGCGGGAGTCCGGAGCCTGCGGGGACAGGTGACCGGGTTAGGACTCAGGAGCAGCGGAGGACTTGGGACGGGCTAGCGTGAGGGGCGGAGGCGGTGGAGGCCCGCCGCGCGGAGGCGGGCGGTCGCTGACGCGGGGCGGTGCGCGGGGGCGGGGCCTGGCGGGCTGTGGCGTGGGGCGGGCGGGCCGCGGCGATGCGGGGCACGAGCTGCGTGGGCGGCGGCGGCGAGAGCCCCGGCGGCGCTGGGCTGAGTGAGGGCCCGCGAGGCCGCTGGCTGCGCCTGGCCCCCGTCTGTGCCTACTTTCTCTGCGTCTCGCTGGCCGCGGTGCTGCTCGCCGTGTACTACGGGCTCATCTGGGTCCCCACGCGGCCCCCCGCCGCCCCCGCCGCCCCGCCGCCCAGCGCGCCGTCCCCGCCGTGTGCTGCCCGCTCGGGCGCGCCGCCTGTCCCGGTGCCTGCCGCCGCCTCAGTGTCCTGCCTCCCGGGCGCCCCGGGCGGGCCGCGACCCCAGCACGAACTGCCGCGGAGCCGCCGCCACAGCGACCACCGCCGCCGCCTGACGCCGGGAGAGACGCCCGAGGCCATGGGGGGGCGAGGGCCAGGGTAGCCGCCCCTTCCACCCCGACCCGATCGTCGTCAGCCCTCGAGAGCCCCGTGCAGCTCGCCCAGGATGGATGCCGTCCCCCGAGGGTCCCGGGCTCTCGGTGACCTCGCCTAGCGCCTTCGGAGCCGTCATCCTGAAGAATGGGGGGCAGCGGGTGCGAGCTCCGGCCTCGCCCTGTGCAGCTCTCCTGCCGCCAGGCCGGTTCTCCTCCAGCCGGCAGGCCCCCTCCGACCTCCCCTCCTGGCCTCCCCCGTGGGATTCTGAGCACAGAGCCCACAGCCCACCCCGCTTCTCCCCGGATCCTCGTGCCCGGCTCCAATAAACTCTAGCCCTAGCTGCCTCGTGCGGTGTCTGTGGTGTTAGCGGAGATGCGTCCTCTTCCAAATCTGAGAAGTCTTTCTGGGGTTTGGCATTTGTCTCTTGCCATGGGTGGGTTTTGTGGGCTTTCTCCCTTCTCCAGGGGACGCTCTTTCTTTTTTCATTGCCTTTGTGTAAATTTTAGGTTAGGGTGGGGAGAAGAGGCTTATCACTACCAGGGCCACTGAAGGTCAGACAGCATGAAGGACTTTCCAGTTTTTAATGTGCTTGGGACAGAGAAAAGTGCCTTTCTGAAGAAAGAAATTAAAAATAAGTAAACAAAGAGGGTCTTCCCCAACAGTATGGGAGACAAACTGGATTCTGAGAATTGCTGTATTTTAATCACATGTTAGGAACAGAGACTAAATCACCGTGACGCAGAAAGCTAGGAAGAAAGGGTGCTTGCCTTCTTCCAGGTGTGGAGGGTGGACAGGGGTGGCTGTGGGGACTTTCTGCTTCTCTGTAAACCTGCCACTGACCGTGAGTACAGCCTCTGGTCAGGATTGCTGCTGCTGAGCTACGGCTGAGAAACTCAGGACAAGCTTCTGGGGAAGGAGTCAGGGGTAGTTGAGACCTGGCCCTGGGCAGGGCCTGGGATCCTGCGTGCAGGAAGTGGTTTTCCTGTCCGGGCTCCCCCCTCAAACTGGAGACTCTCCCAGAAGAGTGAGGCTGAGCCTCTTCTCCCAGATGGATGGTTTGGTCCCAGGACGAGGAGGAGAGGAGTGTCAGTTACTCAGCGGGCCCCAGCATTCCCCAGAGGGCGACTTGGTCAGAAGTGGAATGCAGGAAGCCAGCGATCTACACTAGCCAGGCTAGTCGGTGTCCAGGGGCACAGACTTGGGGCTGAGTTGCCCAGATTCAAATCCCAGTTCCTCTTGTTGCCTATGTGACTTCAGGCAGGTTACTCAACCTCTCTGGTCCTGTAAAATGAAGAGGACAGCACTTACAGAGCTCCTATGAGGACTCCATAAGCTAGTGACCTAAAGCCCTCAGAGCAAAGCCACATGTTCTCTCTCTCCACCACCTCTGTCCCTTGGGGCTTTAAAAACCACAGCTAGGGTCCCACGGGATATCAAGTTAGTCCAAGGCCCTGGACCCAGCAAGTAGTGAGTTCAGGGGAGGCTCTGCTCCCGGCTGGTCCCCTCTTTCTAGTTTCTAACTTTCTTGGCTCCAGTTGTCAACAGTCTCCTGCTCTGTCTGCATCTTTGCTGTCTCCCTGCCCCCGTGCTGTCTGTCTGCACCGTCTGTCTCTCTGGTGTCTCTCCATGTTGTCTCTGTCGCCACTGTTCCCCCTCCTTCCCGCCCCCTGCTCATTTCTCCCTTGGTCTCAGCCTCCACACCTCTGGCTCCTTCCCTTTCTTTGCTTCTCTTCCCTTCTCCCTCTTCTCAACTTCTCTTTCAGTCCCTCCCTTAATCTTTCATTTTACAAAACAACAACAGTTTTTTTTTAGCAGGTACCGTGTGCAAGGACTTACAAACACTGGAGCACAGCACGGAACAGAGCAGGCAAAACCTGCTGCTCTCAGAAGCCCATAATGCATATCATGAGTAACTCACATGTGTTACGTCAGGTAGCCACAGCACAGAGGAAAAAATGAAACAGCAAAGGTGGCAGGGGAGATAGGGGAGCTGGTTACTGGACCTGGGCAGGCAGATCTCTGGGGAAAGATTGCTCCAGGCCAAGGCAAGTGCAAAGGCCCTGCGGCTGGAGGGTCTTGGCTGGTTACTGACCAGCAACAGGCAAGTGTGGCCAGAGCAAGAGGGAGTGAGGGGAGAAAGGAAGGAGGTGATGGAGGGCAGAATGCTCATGGCCTTGTGGGCCACGGTAAGGACTTTGGTTTTTACTTGGAATGAGGCAGGAGCTGTGGGAAGCTTCTGAGCTGAGGAGGGATGGTGCTGACTTGGATATTGGCCACCGCCTCTGCTGCCATGCATTGGGGACAGTCAGCACCACAGCCGAAGCTGGGAGCCCAGTGAGGGGGTGCTGACGGGAGAGGGAGAGAAGAGGTTGGTTCAAACCTCTCTGGATGGTGGTAAAATATACATAAATTACCACTTTAAAGTCCAAGTTCAAGGGCATTGAATATATTCCCATGGTCTCGCACACTGCTGTCTTCCCACGCTGCAACCCTGGTCCCTGCCTCCCTGGCCACGCCAATCTACTGCCTGTCACTCTGAGTTGCTCCGCTGCACACATTCCACATCCTTGGAATCCTACACCGGGCCATCTCTGGTGTCCTGCTTCCTTCCCGCAGCACTGTGGCTTTGAGATCCAACCTGTGACCCTGTGTATCCACACACCACTGGTCTCCATGGCTGAGCGACATGCCACCGTACACGCAGACCAGGTATTGTGCATCCATCCATCAGCTGGACTTTTGGGACTTCTTTCTGTCCATTTTTTTTTATGGGGAATTGAACTCAGGGACACTCCACCACTGAGCCACATCTCGGCACTATTTTGTATTTTATTTAGAGACAGGGTCTCACTGAATTGCTTAGTGCCTCGCTCTTGCTGAGGCTGGCTTTGAACTCACCATTGTCCTGCCTCAGCCTCCTGAGCCACTGGGATTACAGGCGTGCATCACTGCATCCAGCTCCATCTGTCCATTGTGAATGGCGCTGCTCTGAGCGCTTATGTAGGAGTTTTTGTTCAAACACATTTTTAACTCTCATGGATGTATTCAGGAGTGGAACTGCTGTGTCCTGTGATAAGCTGTTTAATTATCATGGAGGAACCATCAAAGTCTGTATGTATTTTGAAGATACAACCAACTTGAACTGGTTGTGGGATGTGCCAGAGAAGGTCAAGGCTGTGCCCAAGCGCCTGGGGGTGAAGTAGGGAGCCCTGTCTGGGGCTGGAGACTGGGGGACTATCGGGGTTAGGGTGTACAGTGCTGACCTCCTTCTCATCTCCCCTCCAGACCCTCAGTTCTCCTCCCCATGTCTCTCCTTTCTCTTTTCTCTCCCTCCTCCAACAACCCTAAATTATATTGATTAAAAAGTGACGTGCCCTCTGCAACCTGCCACTGACTTCCTACCTTTCGCTGTCCAGGGGAACCGCAAAGGGGTCAACTCCTGTCCTTCATAGGCTTTAGGATCTCCAAAGGATTCCAAAAACCTTCCTGTAAGTTTGCCCCCCTGACTCAGTCTCTCGGGGATCATAACAGTCAACAAGGCCTGTGCCAAGCGTTGGGACAGAGCTGGAGACAGACCCCTGAAGATGGTGGTGATCCCCTGTGTGGAGGGGACAGTGCTGGGGACAAGGGGTGACCACGACAGCCCTGGCCCTGCCCTCATGGGTCTCACCTCCCATGGAGGAAAGACCTGATGCGGGGGGGGGGGGGGGGGGCTCAGGGTGCTGAAGGAGTCTTGAAAGAGCTGTGATTCAGTCTGGGCGTCTGAAGCATCTCCTGCAAGAGGCTCCTTAGTCATATTCTATGACTTGTTCTGGAGCCAGACCGCCTGACCACAGCTGTTTCCAGTTATCTTCATGCACAGGGTTGGCCACATCCACAGGCTGCTTCTCCTCAAGACTGAAGGCCAGGTGCCCAGAGGGGAGGCATTACCATTCCCTGGGCGTAAGCAGGCCTGGACCCTATTGGATGAACCCGAGTCACGTGACAACCTTGGACTCAGTGTCTATCAAGGAATGGTTGCTTAAGGTTTGAGTTCCTGAACCATTCACAAGTGAAGGCGGGATAATTATGAAGTTTAGACCAATCAGGATCCAGCTCTGTATCTGGCCTATCCCTCTGAAGCCGAACTGCAAGGGCCGGGGCTGCCAGGAGGGGGCGCGCAAGGGTCCTGGCGTTCCTGGATCCTGGCACCTGGTAAGTCACCGAGGTGACTTACCCTCAGAGCCGCCGAAGGTCCTGGTAACAGAATCCCGAATCTGTTACTGCAGTTCCGAATTCTTGAAAGCTCTGATAAAATTAAATGTTTTTTGGGGGATAATTTTGTCTCAGTCTCATACGGTGGCAAATCAACAAATATGATATGAACTAAGTATACTGTTTATTTATCCCATTTTAGTGTGAATATTCACACATTTTGCTGCAAATATATTAACATCTGCTGGAGGCAGGATGTGGGCCGGCCGCCTCAGGCCCCTCGGAGCGTTACGTAACGTGTGGCATTGGCTCAGAATTGCCTTTCTAAAATTGGAGCAATTCTGAGTTCTGAAATCCATCTGTCCCCGAAGACCTCAGCTAAGGGAGCAAGGACCTGTGATTTGGCACTCTGCCAAACCTAGATTTACTTTAATTATTGTTTCAACATTTATTTAATGGCTTTGGAGAGAAACTAATTTTCCATTACAATTTTTTAAAAATAGAAAATGAAACGTCATTTCACCAAGTTCCTTCTGTTAATGATATGCCATTTTTAGTGGTGTGTGTGTGTGTGTGTGTGTGTGTGGTGTGTTTATGTCTGTATGAGTGTGTCCGTGTTGGAGAAGGTGCTTGTGTATGGCAGTATTGCTGTGTGTATGCATGTTATGTGGGTTTGAGTTGGTGTGCGTGCGTGTATGTATTTGATCGTGTTTATGGTGCGAGAGCGTGTGTGTGTGCGTGAGTGTGAGTGTTCACTAGAGGAGGCGGGGCGCAGTGTTTAAATTGGGGGGGGGTTGGGGTTGGGGTTGTGGCTCAGTGGTAGAGCACTTGCCTAGCATGTGTGAGGCACTGGGTTCGATTTTCAGCACCACATACAAATAAATGAATAAAATAAAGGTCCATCAATGTCTAAAAAATTAGAAAAAATAAATTTGGGGAGTGCTTGAAATTCATAAGATGAAACAATGTCCTAATTTCAGGCAACCATTTGAGCTTCTGCTTTAGAATTTCAGGAAAATTGTGTGCTTTCAGGCCATCCCCTTAATTCCACTAGGGGGCGCCTGCCTACTTCGCCAGAAAGAAAGGAATCTCCATTTTTGCCACGTAATAGCGGGGAGTTTGGATCCTTGCAGAGATGAGGGGA